ATTACATCAATGATTCAATAACTAAAAAAAAGACATTTCAACAAATGGGTGATGTGCTTAAGCATTTTAATGAACATGTGATGAGCATTCAAGATGCGCCAGTGCAGTCAAAGGGGATTTCCTACAAAACACCCATACTAACATTAAACACCCAAATTAACATTAAAAAAAGCATTAACAAAATTTGTGCTTATTTTTTCTCGATAGCCTGTTTTAGAACTTAATGTGAATCTATTTAAACCCAATAAAAAAAAAACTCTAAACAGTAAGAGAACAAATACCCAACACATAGAGAGGTTAAAATTTGCTGCACATAAAAAACGAAAGGAACAACAACCAATTAATCATTCCTTAACTACAATACTCTGTGAGTATGTTGGATTAATAGAAAACTGAGGAAGGCACCGACTTATAGTTATGATGATGTGTGTTTGTGTGTATGTGCGTGTGTGCTTGTGCAGGAACTTGCAGGTATCTGCGGTGCTTTGTGTGTGTGCGATGTGGGTTTGTGTTTTCTCTCTTTGTGTGTGTTTTTGATGGGTGCATGCGTTCTTGTGATGTGCGTGTGTGAGTGCGATGTGGGTTTGTGTTTCCTCTGTGTATGTGTGTTTGTTGTGTTGCAGAGAAGACAAAAAGAAAGAGAAGAGAAAAGGGAAAAGAGAGAGGAACTTGAACTGCGTGTTGTGGGTGGGTGGGTGTGGGGGGAAGGGGGGAGAGAGATAGTAGAGGAACAGGGTGAAGGGTAGTAGAGGGACCGGTGGAAGGGGAGGGGGTTTCTGCATGTGTGTGCCATTGTGTGCATCAGAAGACGAAGAGAGGGAAGGAGAGAAAGGAATACCTTGGGGAGACCTTGTGAGTTATGTGGTGGCGATAGTTGCGCTTTGGCGTATAGAGAGAGGTGTGTGAATGAGAGAAAGGAGAAAGGAGAAATGCATCAAAAAAGAAAGGAGAAAAGGCAAAAGGGGGAGGCAGAGAGGCGATGGGATATGATAGCCGGAGTTGCTTGATTGCCACAGAGAGATGAGAGAAATGGGTGAAAAAGAACAAACAGAGAAATAGATTGGGGAGAAGAACATGTGTGTTCTCTGTGTGTGTGAGAGAGGGGGTTAGCGTACAGATGGGGTTAACAGAGTGGAGGGTGTTGTGTCACGTCACGCATGCTGCATTGGGGGTTGTGTGAGTCAGGACCGTTGAGTGTGATGAGTGGGACAATATAGTGGGGATAAAATTCAAGTTGCTTCCTGTTTTATTATATAGATCTTTCTTCTGTATATTCCCTTCTTATCTTCTTTTTCCTATTTCTTAGAACTTTTATTAATTCAACTTGGTATCAGAGCATTAATCGAGATTATATGACATCGGAAACCTAGGAAGCACGGATACAAACACAGGTGTTTTATCCGATATGATACGGATACAGGGATACGACAAAGTTAAAAAATATAGGTTACGGGCACGACAATGATATGATTATTAAAATAATATAATATATTTTTTAAATAATTATAGAGTTGTAATATATTAAAAATAAAATATATATTATAACAATATTAATAATAAGACCTAATAAATATTATTTTTTTGATTAAAATTAAAATATATCAAATTAAATATCTAACATTTTCATCAAACATCATGACGTCTATTAACATTCATAGTATATAAGTTATATATCAAAAAATATATTAAAAAAAGTAAAAATACTCCCCTTTTAATAGTTAAAAGTTATTTTTTTAATAAATTTTTTTTGGTCGTGTTCTAGTCATGTTTTGGTCATGTCCGACTAAGTTCACTAATCAGGACACTTCTAGTCGTGTCGGACACGTGTCCAACTGTATTTTGGCTATGGCCGTGTCTGACTAAGTCCACTATTCAGGACACTTCTAGTCGTGTCGGACACGTGTCCAACTGTATCTTGGCCGTGTTCGTGTTCGACACGGACACGTGTCCAACACTACCACGACTTCCTTGTGGAAGTATTTGTGCTTCCCAGTCGAAAACGCAGCAAAAAAGTTTTGGAAAGGGTCCTCTGTTGCTGACGTTCCCTATCAGTGACTGACATCACCTATCAGCTACTAACATCACCTATGAGCGACTAACATTATGTTAATGTCAATAACTGACGACCAGTGAACCAGTCTTCTTGCTCAATTTTTCATGAAGAATTTTTTGGTATTTTTGCATATTTTTTTTGGAGGCGTTTGAGTTGGGTTTTCTATTTTAAAATTATTTTGGGAAAAATTAGGGTTATTTTCAAGATCTGTTAATTTGGAAGTTTTTTGGTTAGATTGTTGCTTGGATTTAGATTTGGGGGTGCTGATTAGACTTGTCACCTGTGGTTGTGTGTTCTGTGATACCCAACCCTTATTGAGTAGTTTAGAGATCTTTTGGACAATAGAAGTGTCGACAATACTATTTGGGTCTCGATTTGCTTCGACTTGATTAGATCTTCCTTTGGTTGTCTCTTTTTGGCTTCGATTGACTAAAGCTGATCTATATCTATCTGACTAGCCTGATTTGTGGTGTTTGTTCCGCGAATACTTTACTTTGTTTTTTTTGGGTCTTTATTCTCCAGATCTGGTTGCTATGTTCCAGGTTTGTTCATCCAGTTCTTGTTTATGTTGTTTCTTGACTTTTGTGTTGTTTTTAGGCCTATTATGTGATTGAGTTGTTGTTGTGTCTTGATGGTTGTTTAGGAATATTTGTTTGTTGTTTATCCTTTATTGCCTCGTTGTTTGTGGATTGTACAATGGCAACTCTCGAGGAGGTGAAGGATAAGTTGGTTGACAATCTCATTCGACAGGATTACTCTGTGGATGATCTGGTTAGACAAATTACTTATGTGAAGTTAAATAGAACCGACTACTATTCTTGGTCTTATGCAATCAAAGTTTTTTTACGTGCTAAATGGAAAGTCAAGTATTTGACTGGAAGTTCTCCTCCTGAGACTTCTAACGATTTTGAAGACTAGTGGAGTGAGAATTCCTTGGTGATGACATGGTTATGACATAGTATGGAGTTAGGTGTAACTTTGAATGTTCAACTTCTTGATATAACTAAGAAGATTTGAGACTCTCTTGAAGAGATGTACTCACAGGAACGTAACGTGTTTCGAATCTATGAACTTTTTGAACCTATGTTGATTAAGCCTTTGGATGAGCATTTCAGGTTATGAGAGGAACTTCTACCTTATCAGCCATTGAGTGCGGATCTAGGAATACAGCACTGACAACGTGAAGAGTTTCAGCTTACTTTATTCTTGTCCAATTTTAATTTTGAATATGGTGTGTTAAAAGACCAAATTTTGGCTAGTGAGAAACTTCCAACGGTTGCCAATGCTTATTCTTGTCTTTAGAGAGCCTCTTTGACCTGTGGGACTCTTTTAGCTTCATAGGAGTCCTTTGCTTTCTTGTTTAGTGATTGTAGTTATGGTGGTTGTGGAGGCAACCATAATGGTGGTCGTGGTCGTCATCCAACATCAGGGGGTAATCTTAGTGGTGGATGCACTGGTCGTGGAGGTTATGGTAGTTGTGGCAATCGTTTTGCGTGGAAATGTTCTTTTTTGTGGAGCAGTTGGACATACTGAGGATTATTGTTGGGATAAACATGAAAGACTAGTCTATGCTAATCCAGTTTATGATGATTTGACTCCTCCTGTATCTCAACCATCAACTAGTGGACCTGTTTCATTTCATCTGACTCTCATGATGATCTCGCTTCTCAGCTTAGTCAACTCATCCAACAGTTGTCTTCACTCTCTTCTCATTCGCCCACTTCAGCTGCCGGTATAGCAACAGTGGGCTAAGAAGCACAGATACGGATACGAGTGTCATATCCGACATGATACGAACACGGGGATATGACAAAATCTCAAAATATAGGACAAGGTTACGGCAAAGATGCAGTTAATTAAAATAATATAATATATATTTATATATATAAAATAATAAAATTGAATAATTAACTAATATTTTTTAAATGGACAAATGAGTTAATATTAAATTTGATTAGTGGACTAAAATATTATTTATAGTAGACTAAATTAAATTGGGTAGTGAGTGACAACTAATAAGGTGTTATTTGTAATTTAGCAATTAGGGCAAAGAAAAAAAGAAAATAAAAAATTGAAAAGCTAGGCTTAAAAAGGGAAGAAAATAAAAAAAAGAAAGTAAAGTCGTTGCTTTTCTAGGGCAAGCCACCGCAGGAGCAAGCCGTCAGTGGTCAGAAAAGGCATTGCTTTTCTAGGGTAAGCCACTGTAGCAGCAGTTGTCGTTGGTTGACAGTGGGAGATCTGATCCGAGAGAGAGAGAGCAAGATCGAAGACAGAAATCGTCGCCCAGCGACGCAAAGAGATTTGATTTGAGATTGAGGTCGAAGAGAGATATGAAGGCATACTTGGTCGAAGATGAGATTTGTGGCTGTGGCATCTCAGGTTTGTATCATCTTTTTCCTCCATTTTTTTTTGTTTCAACAGAGATCCATGCCTATGATCGTATCCCGGCCATATCTGAGTCGTATTCGTCCATCTTCACTATTCAGGTAACTTGTGGAAGTTTTGGACACATGTCGGGCCATGTCCCACGCGTATCACGTGTCCGACACTGCCACGTAGACCCTCTATGGAGTACCCGTGCTTCCTAGGTAGAGGGTAATTTTGCATATGTAGCTGCACAATCCACTTCATGATCTTGTACAATCCACTTAACCATCTTGGATCATTGATTTAGGAGCTAGTGCCCACATTTCTGGTACTTAGTCATTGTTTTCTAATTTTCGTTCTCCTGACTCTCGTATTGTTTTAGCTAATGGCTCTTTTAGATCAGTACGTGGGACTAGTGGTCTCCATCCAACCGAATCCATGTCATTAACGTCTGGTTTATTTGTTTTTTAGTTTCCTTTAATTTGTTATCTGGGAGCAAATTAACCGAGTCTCTACGATGTTCAACAACTTTCTCTGTTGCTGCTCATTATATCTATGTTTTGCAGGGTCCCACTTGCTAATGGAGGTTATTTAGTGATTGAACAAACTGAGGCTTTAGTCTCTATTGACGTGAATGGGGGTCATTGTATGCTTGGTGAAGGGAATTCACAAGAGAAAGCTATTCTTGATGTTAACCTTGCAGCTGCTAAACAAGTACTTGGAAGCTTGTCACTGTTTTATACTTATAATAAAGTTGTGATAGGGACCTTTGGAATTTATTGTTGTTGTATGCATTTCTTATATGTTAACATGTTTGAGTATAGTTACCTATGTCGTAGTTCGATCCTAAAATTATAAGATACAGGGGATGGAGGAATCTTACTTCGTCAGACTTGCCCACCTCACAATTTAAGCACCTTAGTCGTCAGTCCAATGGGTTTAGCTATATGCAGTATAATCTTGGGCTTTTGCATATTGTACAGTGTACTACTCCTACGGCCTGGCCATTGCAGGCTGAAAAAGTGTTTTGATTGCATCAGGTGCAAAAGTGGGGAAGTAGGAAGTAACATAGAGAGAGAGAGAGAGAGAGAGAGAGAGAGAGATGATTACCACTAAGATGAGGGCATATGCAGTGTTGGTATCATTTATATCAGCAGCCATGATGGACTGAGATTAGGATAAGATATAGTATTGCATCATAATCACCAACCATTTACAGCTTATAGGATTAAGGATAGATAAGTTGCATTGTTGAAGACTGAAGTAGAAACGAGTACTGGCAGACAACATTGTAGTCTGTTAAGGTACTACTAACTAAGTGGGAAAATGCATAGCTTGACTATTCATGTACTTGACCTAGCCAGTATTGATAAAGAACACTTGCTATCCGTGAAAAGACCACGCTCGGGCTGAATTGCTATATCAGGTGAGAGATGCTTTGGTCTGGCTGGAAGGCTCTAAACCTAAGCAGGGATATTAATTGAACCTGAAATGGAATTAGGCAGATAAAAATTGATCATAAGTTTCAGCTTCATAGTTTTAAGCCAGTAGTTAAGATGGGGCTCCTACAGTCGTTTTGGCAATAATTGGTGAGGTAGTATGTAATCCCTTTAACAGCACTATATCATGCATTTCAGGAGGACAAAGAAGAAAGGTTGATTTGAAATAGAAAAAATTAATATTAGGATTAGAGAAAATGAGAGAAAAAAAGAAAAATAGGGAGGAAGCGGCAAAAAGAATAATCAGTAGGCTGTGTTGCCCTACACCTTATTTATAATAATCTAATGTTGTGAGTAATTACATTATCAGCCTACACTACTAATAATATAAAAAATAAGAACTCTAACACTCCCCCTTAAGCTGGAGCATAAAGATCAATGACGCCCAACTTGGAACAAAGACTATTTAAGACATATTGAGTCAATTGTTTGGTGAGGATGTCACCTAGTTGATCACTCGACTTGATATATGGTGTAATAATCTTCTTCTGTCTTAAGAGATTTCGAATAAAGTGGCAATCTACGTCAATGTGTTTTGTCATCTCATGAAACAGTGGGTTACTAGCGATAAAGATAGCATCTTGATTGTAACAGTGGATCTCCACAGGAAAGGACATACTGATGCTTACATCTTGAAGTACAAAATAAACGCATAACATCTCACATGTAATATATGAGCCATTGTCCGGTATTCGGTATTCAGTTTTTGCGCTCGATTGTGTAATCACATTCTGTTTCTTGTTGTGCTATGTAACAAGATTACCCCCTATAAAGGTCTATTAACCTGAAGTAGATCGTTTATCAACATGACTGAGAAGCCATTAACAGGTTGCTTACCAGAAGAAAGAGGAGACCTTATGTCTAGTTCTCATGAAGAGCTTTTATTTCATCATCCATATCCAATTTCCATTTAGGAGATGTCAATGCTTGTTTTCAAGGAGTTAGAAACAAACACAAAAGGCAGAGTTAATGCAAAATAATGAAAGGATAAGAAAGTCTATGCAAAGAGGCAAAAATAGAAATAGGATGCTTGGTGTAGTTATGAGTACCTTTCTTCAATGCAATAGCTGATGGCTTAGAGGGCAAGACCCCAAGTAGAATCAGGTGATGGTTGTGGAGCCAAAGCATATAAAATGACTTGTTTGCCCTTAGAATGACGATACATCTGCAATAGAGGAGTAATAATTAGGGATGAAGGAGAACTACATTCTAGTACAATAGGGCAACAAGAGCTCCCTCGTCTGGGAAAGACTATACGGGGAGAAAGAGAATGGCTTGACGGGAAAAAAAAAAGACTCAAAAAAAGTAACATTAGCACTGACATAGTATCTATGTGAAACAGGATCATAAGAGTGATAAACTTTTTGTGTATGAGAATATTCCAAAAAAACATAGTTGACGGAGCGAGGAGAAAGTTTATCTCGACTCGACCCAAGAAGATGAACAAAAGCAATACAACCAAATACACGCGGAGGGAGACCAAATGATTGTTTCTTAGGATAGAGTAATGAGAACTTGGTTATATATGATGGATGAGGGCATCTGATTAATAAGGTATACTGAAGTAAGAACAACATCAACCCAATATGACTTTGAGACATGCATGTTAAACATTAAAGTATGAGCAACATTCAGGATATGACAATGTTTATGTTCAGAAACTCTATTTTACTGAGATGTATGTAGACATTTGGTTTGATGGATGATACCATGTTCAACACAAAATGTATGCATAAATGATTCGACATACTCAAGCGTTGGTAGAATGAAACACTTTAACACGTTTATTAAACGGTACCAAAATTTCATTATAAAATGTAACAAATATCTTATGCAACCCAGAACGTTCCTTTATCAGCAATAACCAAGTTATACGAGAGAAATCATCAACAAAGATCACAAAATATTGAAAATCAGAAATATTTTTTTGTTCTTGTAGCACCTGAAATATCTAAGTGATTAATATCAAAAGGACTAGACTAACGACTTTCATTACTACTAGAAAAAGAACTGCGGTGATGCTTGTCCAACCGTTAAGCCTCACATTCTAAAATAAAAAGACTTAAGTTAGGAATAAAATGATGAAGTTTCTGCAATGAAAGGTGACCCAGACAAAAATGCCACTGAAGTGGAGATATGGTGGCACTCAAGGAAGGTAATGAATCTCTAGAATTCAAATAAAAAAGGCCATTTTGTTCATGGCCTGAACAAAGCATCTTCTTTTTCTTGAGGTCTTGAAAAACACAAGAAAATGGAGAAAATATTACTGAGCATTGAAAAGATTTAGTCAACTGCATTATAGATATTGATTTAAAAGGAAAACGAGGAACAAATTAATCATATTTTAAAAACATAGATTTAGTAGGGTGAAGATCACCAGTCCCATGCACCGATCGAAAAGAGTCACCAGCTAAGGCAATACTAGAGTTAGAAGAGTAGAAATTAGAAAGGATGAAGTACCAGACATATGAGCACTAGCTCGTGAATCAGTAATCCAGGATGGTGAAACTGATTGGCTACCACGTACAAAATTACCTACATTAGTTAGACCAATAGTTGAAGTAGACAATTGAGGAGAAAATGAGGATAGCTGTAAAATACGCTGAGTGAACTAAGAGATAAGGGCATTATGAGTGCCAGATGTAGATCTGGGGATGCATTAGCATAGGTCTGAGATGCTGATGAAAGTTGGTCAGGGTCCCATGCTTGTCCCAACAATAATTCTTGGTATGTCTAGTAGCCCCATAATAAGAACATTTTCACTTGGAGCGATTACCAAGACCACTCTGACTACCTCAGTTTCCACGACCAGTGCCTCTACCATCATATCACCTGTGTGGTCAGAGGAGCCTCTACTGCGGTTAGGTTACCTCGTGACTCTAGTTTTTGGTATATGCGTTCTGAGAATGTAAAATTCCCTTGAATTATACTAACGCTTGTCCCATCGGGGGAGAGGTTGTGTATCACCAGATGTCCAATCCCATAGTATCTTAAGTTAGAAGAATTCTATGGAGCTAAAGAAGTGCCATGAGTAAGAGAAGCTTGCTGAAGGTGAGAATAGGCATTGACAACTGTCGAAAGTGTCTCACTAGCCAAAATCTGATCTTTAAACACACCGTACTGGGAATTAAGGCTGGATAGGAACAACACAACATGGAATTCATTATGCTGTTGTCGTTAAACCTCCAAATCTTTACTCAGTGGTTGCTACAACATAAGTTCCTTCCACAATCCTTTCAAAGTACTATAAGGTTAAACTAGTGATTTGTTGCCTTGCTTCGCAGTAAACATACGTTCAAAGGGTTCATAAATTTTAGACACTTTATGTTCTTATGAGTCCCATACCTTCTTGATAGTATCAAGTTGTACATTGGAAGCCACCATGAGTTCCATATTAAACCACAACCCTCAAGAGAGTCCCATATCTTCTTGGCGGTATTAAGAAGCTATATATTGGAAGCCACCACGGGTTCCATATTAAGCCACAACCAAGTCATCGCTAATGAATTGTGACTACACCAATCTTTAGAATTTTTAGGAGGAAGACTCTCGGTCAAATAATTAATTTTTCTCTTGGCACGCAAAAAAAACTTTGATGGCATGAGCCCAAGAGTAATAGTTTGTCCCATCCAATTTGACTGAAGTAATTTGTTGAGGATGATCAAATTAACCTAGCTTGATCATCCATTGAAGTATCCTTTACATCCTTTGATGTTGACATAGAGAAACCCACAACCAACTAAACTATAGTAAAGGGTGAAACAACCAGATAATCGATAAACGACCACAATTGTACCAAAAACAACCGCAAAACAGAGCCATAAAATAACTCCAAAGACACAATTCACGTTGGTAAAAAACTACAAACCCACAACACAACAAAAATCACACCAGAAGGCCCAAGAAGAACACACATGAAAGTCAAAAAAGTCCCGGATCTATGCTCTAGAATAGTGCCGAATAGTGATGATCATTGTTCATCGTCTTTCAAGGTTGGCCGAATGTCCCTAAAGCACCAAAACAATGTTTAAATCATCCAAAACAGGCCGGGCAACTCACAGAAATTCACTTAAGTCCAATTTTCACTCCATAATATCATATCCAAGCAATATATTTGGAAAAACAAGCGGGAGATTGAAGAAAAAATGACTGATTTTCTAAAAAATATTCAAAAATCTGAAATTCAAATCAAATGGCGGCAAAAAAATAAAATAAAAATCACCATGAAATTTTGGTCCAGGAGGTGGTTTTGATGATCAACATTTGCTGATGTCATGATGATGTCAACCTTTGACAGTGATGTCAGCAACTTGGCTTTGATTAGAAATTTGTCTATAATATTTTCCGATGTTCTCTAGTTTTGTACGATTGGTCTGATACCAAGTTGAAATAGAAAAAATAATCTTAGTTGTACTTGTATCACAAGTAGTACTTTAAAATAATGAATAATTAACATGTGCAGACATACTATACCCCATGTTGTTTAGTTTATAGCTAGTGGTTGTTCCCTTTTATAGTCAAGCTTTAGATAT